TCCTGAGTTATCTGGTAGTATAAATTTACAAACAGTATTTAACCTGGGAATAAATTGAACCGAAGAGGTGATATACCCGTGTTTCAAAAAGTTTTAAGACACTGAAGGAATTGAAGAGGATACAAATGAATGGAAGGATATGCTGTGTTCATGGGTTGGAAGGATTAATATCACTAAAGTGACCACCCTACTCAAAGCAATCTACAGGTTCAATGTCATCCCTATCAAAATACCAATGACATTCTCAGAACTAAAGCAGACAGCCCTGAAATTCATATGGAATCACAAAAGACCACAAATTGCCAAAAACAATCTTGAAAGAAAACACAAAGAACAAATCAGGAGGTATCACTCGCCCTGATTTTAAATTATACTACAAAGCTGTAATAACAGAAACTACATGGTACTGGCACAAAAACAGTCATATGGATCAAAGGAACAGAATACAGAGCCCAGAAATAAACCCTCACTTATATGGTCAATTAACCTATGACAAAGAAGATAAAAATATACACTGGGGTAATGACAGTCTCTTCACCCAGTGGTGTTGGGAAAACTCGACAGATACCAATAAAAACATGAAACTGGACCATTCTCTTCTACACCATATACAAAAATTAACTCGATTAAAGACTTAAACATAAGGCCTGAAACCATAAAACTCCTGGAAGAGAACATAGGTAAGAAACTACCTGATACCAGTCTGAGTGATACCTTTGTGGATACATCCCCTCAAGCGTAGGAAACAAAAGCAAAAAAAATCAAATGGGATTTCATTGAACTAAAAAGCTTCTGTGCAGCAAAGGAAACCATCAACAAAACAAAAAGACCACCTGTTAAATGTGGTGATATATTTGCAAAATATATATTCAGTAAGTAATTGATACCCAAAATATATAAGAAACTCATATAATTCAATAACAAAAAAAAAATCTGGTCAAAAAATGAGCAGAGGACATGAAAAGACACTTAAAACAAAGATGGCCAACAGACGCCCTAGCTGATGTGGCTCAGTTGGTTGGAGCATTGTCCCATACACTGAAGAGTCACAGGTTTGATTCCCAATCACATCATATACCTGGGTTGTCGGTTCAACCCCTGTTCAGGGCACATGTGAGAGGCAAGCAATTGATATTTCTCTCACACATAGGTGTCTCTCTCTCCCTCTCTCTAAAAATCGATGAGCAGGTCCCCCAGTAAGGATTAAAGAAAAAAATATTAAAAAGATGACCAGTAGACATATAAAAAGATATCCATCATCGCTAATCATCAGGGAAAAGCAAATCAAAACCACAAAGAGATATCACCTCACACCAGTCGCAGTGGCTACCCGCAATAAATGAACAAGCAAGTGTTGGCAAGGATGTGGAGAAAGAGGAACGCTAGTATACTGTTGGCAGGATTGTAAATTGGTGCAGCCAGTGTGGAAAACAGTATGAGGTTTCTCAAAATATTGAAACTAGAGCTACCATATGACCCGGCAATTCCACTGCTGGGTATTTATCTGAAGAAATCCAGACACTAATTGGAAAAGATATAGGCATCCCTATGTTCACTGCAGCATTATTTATAATAGTCAACATATGGAAGCAACCTGAGTGTCTATCAGTAGATGAATGGATAAAGAAAATGCAGTACATATATACAATGGGCTGTTATTCAGCAATTGAAAAATGAAATCTTGCCAGTTGCAACAACATGGATGAACCTCGAAGGCATTATGCTAAGTGAAATAAGTAAGACAGAGAAATACAAATTCCATATGGTTGCACTTATATGTGGAATCTAAAAGAAAAATCAAAACATATGAACAAACAAAACAAAAACAGACTCAGAGACACAAAGACCGAAGGCATAGGTGCCAGAGAAGAGGAGGCTGAGGGGATGGGTCCAAAAAGTGAAGAGGAAGGTAGTCAGTGATACTGCGGTAAGTCTACGCGGCGCCAGATGGTTACTAGTATTAGTGGGGTGACCACATTGCAAGGTATAAAAATGTCAAATCACTATATTGTACACCTAAAATTAATGTAACTGATGTTAATATTATATACCAACTACACTTAAATAAAAATAATAAATGTAAAATATTTTAAAAATTTGCAAACAGTATTTAATAGAATCTTGTGGTTGAAACAAAACTTTGTGATTATCTCACACAGCCCGGCCGTGACTGCTGAGTCTTCTCTACCAGCCACCGCATGTCGGGTGCCTTCTGGGCACTGAGTTAGGACACAGCTTTCTGCCTCGGCTCTACCTAGAGGCCACTCAGCCACAGCCTCACCCCCCAGTGACAGCACCTGCTCCTCCTTCAATGACTGCTCATTTCTTTACTCTGGTTAGAAAGCACTTCCAGGTTAAAGCAAAACTGGCTTCCATGCATTTGTCCTGGCTCTGGCCTAGGATTCACTTAGTCTCACCCATTGGGTCACAACAGATGGCAAAAGGGACCTGTGTGCTGGGTGAGGACATGAGTATGAGTATGATGAGGATCAGGGTGCTGGATGGGGGGAGGCTGGGAGGGGTGCAGAGTGACCGCTCTACTCACTTTACACATTCTGATATTCCAGCTCCCACCCCAGCATCACAGCCATCTGTGCCACCACTGTTGATGACAATGTCCCACCTTCAGGTGTCCTGAGACTAACGTAGTACTTAATCCCTTCTCCCATGGCTAGTCTGTAGATGTTCAAAGACAGTTATTATGCCCCATCTCTATGACTCCGACTGTCTAGATCAAAAACCCCAGGTCTTCAGCCATTTCCTCAGAGTCCTGGGTTTTGGGAGCCCTTCACTGGCGGATTTTCTCAGGCGTGACTCAGACTGAGCAATGTCCCCCTCAGGGTTTGGCACTAGAAACCAGACACAGAACTCCAGCTGTGATCTATAGGACCAGTAGAGCAGAACTATCACCTGCTTTTGTTTTTTGGTTTAGGAAAGCAGGACTCAGATCTAATTAGTTGGACCATATCACTTTATGTGGGTTTTTTAATATCACTGATTGATACGCACCACACATCAAAGTTATCACACTGAGCCTAAAGTCCTGAGCCCAAAGTCCATCTGTCCTGAGGATGCAGGCAACTTCCCATTTGCCTACTGCTGTAGCTCAGAACGCCAAGCACTTAAGCTTTTTCTGAAAGATATTTTCCAAATAATGGTTTGAGCATTTTATATATTTAAGCAGGGAAACCTCCCTAACAGATTAGTAAGAGGGAACAATCTAAACTATTAAACACAGTGGTAAGTTAATAAAAACTACAGCTAACAACTGGCTCAAATTACATGATAAAATATTCATTTTTAAATAGAACTATGTTGTCCTGGCTGGTGTGGCTCGGTTAGTTAAGTGTCATCCCGCAAACCAAAAGGCCGTTAGTTCAAATCACGGTCAGGACACATGCCTGGGTTGCAGATTTGGTCCCCGGTCAGGGCATGTGTAGAAGACAACCAATCAATGTTTCTCACTAATGTTGATGTTTCTCTCCCTCTTTCTCCCTCTCTCTAAAATAAATAAATAAACTAACTTTTAAAATTCCCATATGAAAAAATTCCCATATGACACAGCATCTAATAATTTTTGGAGTCATTTCAAACTTTTACTCAAGCCTTTTCAGCCTCCAAACAAAGGTTGGGATCCAGCCCCAATCTTCTTTACTACGGTTTTGGGAGCACTAGCATATTCCAGGAACCTGTACTAAGTGATATAGTGATCTAGACATAGAAAGATATAGATATAGAGAGAGAGAGAGACAACCCCCCAAAATGGAATTTATCTATTAAAAATTGTGTGTTCTTACATGTTTAAACTTCAGTCACCTTCAAAGTACTTTCCATTTGATGCAATACACCTACTGAAACATTTTTTTCCCCTTCCCGATGCGGTTTTTGAACTCACCGATTTTGATGCCTGTTAGTGCTTCTGCTGTTTCTTGTTTCACCTGTTCCACATCGGCAAAACATCTCCCTTTAACGACTTTTTTCTTCCAGGGAAATGAAAACCAAAAGTTGCTTGGGGCGAGATTGGGTGAATAGGGAGGTTGGGACACGGGGGTCCTGCTGTTTTTGGTCAAAAACTGAACACTCGGTGCGGTGTGGGCAGGTGTGCTTGTAATCGCCCAATATGAAATGGGTAAACACATTGAAAGAGTCTTCAAAAAAAATTCACTGAGGCTGAACACAGCCTCTCACAACAACGTCAGCTGGTACACTGATACAGATGGGTTCCTAAAACAGTCGCCTAGTGGGGAAAGCCTGTACTACAAGGGGCCACCCTTCAGAAGATAGTTCCAGTTTTGGGGGGTCCTGCTCATATAATTTTTGTATATTGTATATACAGCTACCCCACTTTGCAGATAAATGAGGTACAAAAAAGGTTAAGTAACTTGCATAATGTTCTATAGCTGTAATAATTAGGAAATCAACAGATTTAACCCACTGTGTCCATCTGCAAAGACTGAGCAGGGGACTGTGCCCCCCATACATATCTTAGTATAACTGTCACAGATTGAACTAGCTGCCTCTGATTTTAAATGGTTGTCGTTTTAGGTTAAGTATTAACTGGATATATTTTTACTCCCCGGCCACATGGACAGTGTTTGAAAATGAACACAACATTCACAACGAGTTCAAGACCATGTTCAGGTTACTTTGATTGGCTTCAGACCTGGTATACCACAGCACATCCGCAAGCCCTGTGCACTTGGAGGAGGGCAGGAGTGTCTTCGGTGGTGCGGCTTCCTTCTGAGTCTCTAGCACAGTGCTGTGATTTATTAGGGACTTGATAAACTGTGTCAATAACATATTGTGGGCCTGGCAGAGAAGCACATGCTATGCTCCTCATTGCAGAATTGCAGCCTAATGCACCCGCACTGCACCCTGCACAGTTCCCAGGCACAGGGCGCCAGGAGAAATAATGGACTTGTGTTCCTACTCACGAGGAGCAGGTATAAATCAATGCCAAAACTAAGTGTTACAGCTGCTTTCTTTCTTTTTCCCCCTAGTAAGTGCAAATGGTGACCACCTAAGCAGATGGATGACACGTGAACACAGTCGCAGGAGAAAAGCTCCTCCAGTCCAGAATTTCCCAAAGGACCTTGGCTGAGCCCCACAACACAGAATAATCAACTGGATTTAGGAGTCTGAGCATGTCGGGGGGGCGCTGGCCCACGGGCTGGTCAGCAGATGTGATGTGAAAAAATACCACACTCTTCCCTCATTTGCTGTTGCTTGCTGAACTGTGAAGAACTGCATGAACCATATTTAAACTGCTTTATATACCATTGCCAATCACTTTTTTTGGACTTGAAAGTGCTATTTTCCTATTGATACTTGCATTATTTCATTCTGCATGCATCCAGTGATTATATTTAAGCAACACATGTAATCTGCTTATATATTTTTTAAAAATTCCATCTGTGCAAAATGGCATATAAAGTATAAATCCTGCTCTTTTTGCAAAATTATAATCATAGCCATGTCATTAAAAGTTTAAGTTGGTTTTATCTAAAGATCAGTATAATAGGTCTGCATATACTTTATAGATCACTAGCCTCTATAAAGATACTTTCACTGTTTATTAGTGAAGTGAGAAAAGCAGAGCTATTTATAAAAGGCCTTATGTCGTGTACATACACGTTGTCTTTGAAATACTTGTGATTTAGTTTATTGCTTGTAAAAGAGAAATTATATAATTTATTTAGTAAATATATTGTAAACTATAGTTTTATTGAGAAAAATAAAATATTTTGTTCTCAATTGTGGTAATACAGTAATTCCAATAGTTTACGGTCTTATTTCTATTAATTAAAAAGAAATAACTTAGATGCCTCTCATTTTTAGATGTTGCAGAATCCTAAATAAGTTGAGTCTCATGACATAAAAAGTAGAGGAAATTCTCTGGGCCCTGAGGAAAGACTCAATAGTGGGTTCTGCTCAACTTGTTTGAGCCTTTCCCAAGGGTCCTAGTGTATAGCCAGCTTGTACTATGTTATGCCACGGTAGCAAACAACCCCAAAATCTCTGGATGGGGATCCAAAGCAGTTCCCATCTGGAACATGTCATTTTTATGGCAGAAGGAAAAAAGTGATAGTGTAACAAAGAGATGGGAGTTCATTTAAAAAAAAGAAAGAAAGAAAAAGAAACCCTTCAGCTTAAATGTAGTTTCTGATGCTTCTGCTCAGATTCTACTGGCCAAAGCAAGTGACATTGACAAGTCTGATGTCAAAGGGGTGGGAAATAGATTTCTCACACAGGAATGAATTCAGTAGAGACAGGCAGTGAGTATTTTAATCAATTTATGCATCCATACCATCTCATGCACGTCCCAAGCAACAGAGACTTATGAGGCTGCATAACCATACATTGGGGGGGAAAATCATTAGAAAGCAGAATGGCCCAGGCTGCAGAAAGACTTTCCTGATAAGATGCTCAGTGTAAAATACTTCAAGGTAAAGAAAGCTGATTCCTTGTAAGCAAACATGGTATTAACCTGTATAAAGGCAGCCTACAGCCATAGTTACTCAGAATAAGTAATTTTACCTGCAGAGTTGGTGCTGGGAATCTATCCTGGATTGGGATGTCAATGGGGAATTCTACTCAAGTGGATTACTGAGGGTTCTCTGCCTCTCTCTCCCTAGTATTCACATGTGCTTGCAGATGCTCTTCCTCGCTGCAGGGGTTTTACCTGGCTGGAATCCCAGTCTTTCCCCCTCCCATTTGTAAACCTACCCATTTATCTAAGAAGGGACCCTTAGCCCAGGACCCATTGTTTCCTACGAGGGTCACAGGTAGATATTAATAGGACCATGAAATAATATTTACAAGTAGGGCATGCTTTTGAGCAGATGGGACTTTTTAGTCATTAAAAAAAAGAAAGACTAATTTTCATCAAACTCAAAGTGATCTTGACCTGAGAAATGTTAAGAATCATTATTTAAAGGCCCAATTCAAATGCTATTTCAATTCCATGAAGCTGTCTATGATCCCTAACCTCTGCTTCTACCACCGTCACCCTTGGGCATCCCGTAGTTATTTCACCTATCCCAGAAAACCTCAACACTGCCTACCCTTTTTGAATAATTGAGGTATAAATTACATACAATAGAGAGCACAAATATTAACTGTATGTATTGTTCAGTGGATTTTTATACCTGTAGATACCCATATATCCAGCACCTGCAACAAGATAGCAAATATTTCCAGCTAACATACAGGCCCTATCATTCCCCCATCCTCATCAATGGCATTGGTGGGATTGATGCCTTCCCCTCAGCGCCCCAAAGGTGGCATTTATTATGACTCCTATTATAATGGAGTAACTATGCCAGTTTTTGAACATCTTATAAATGGAATCATACTTTTAACCTGGCTTTTTATTCAACACTGTATGAGCTTCATTCATTTCGTTGTATGTAATGGAAGTTCATTCCTTTAAATTACTAAGTAGTATTCCACTGTATAAATATTCCATAATTTTCTACTCTATTGCTGATTGACATTTGGGTAGTTTCCAATTTGGGTCTAAAAGTGTACATATTGAAAAATGGATGACAAGGCCCCCAGACCTCTTCCTCCACACAGTTCCTATTGCAGACCACTTGACTTCTAGCAACCCTACTGGACATAGAAGAATTTTCTCTGAGAAATATCACTATCATGAAATAGGTGATCTTATTATATATAGAAAACCCTAATGACTCCACCCCCCTCCAAAAAAGAAAACCTTTTAGATGTAATAAATAAATTCAGTGAAGTTGCAGAGTACAGAATCAGTGTATAAGAATTATACAAAATACACTAATAATAATATATGAGAAAGAGAAATTAAAACAATTTATAACTATATCAAAAAGAATAAAATATATAGAATAATTTAATCAAGCTGGAGAAAAACCCTCTACACTCAAAAATATAAGACATTAATGGAAGAAATTGAAGAAAACACAAATGAAAAGCTATCTTGTACCCATGAAAGAATTAATATTGCTAAAATGTCCATGCTACCTGAAGTGATCTACCGATTTAATGTGATCACTATCAAAATTCCAGTGACATTTTTTAACAGAAATAGAATAATCAAAGTATGTATGTAACCACAAAAGACTCTAAACAAAGTAAATCTTGAGAAAGAACAAAGCTGGAGGTATCACACATTCTGATTTTAAACTATTTTTAAAAGCTGTATTAATCAGCCCTGGATGGTGTGGCTCAGTGGATTGAGTGTCGGCCTGCAAACCAAAGGGTCTTCCGTTCAATTCCCAGGCACGGCGCGTACCTGGGTTGCAGACCAGGTCCCCAGAAGAGGGCATGCAAGAGGCAACCACACATTGGTGTTTCTCTCTCTTTCTCCCTTCCTTCCCCTCTCTAAAAATAAATAAAATAGTTTTTAAAATAAAAGCTATATTACCCAAAACAGTATGGTATTGGCATTTAAACAGACACACAGATAATGGAACAGAATAGAAAGCCAAAAAATGAACCCACACGTATATGATCAATTAATTCATGACAAAGGAGAAAGAATATAATGAAGACAGGATAGTCTCTTCAATAAGTTCTGCTGGTAAAAACTGGACAACCACATGCAAAAGAACTGAACTACTGGGTTGGCCAAAAAGTCTATATGATTTTTTTCCATAAAATAAAAGACACACTTTTCAATTTCACCAATAACTGTATTGATTTGGATATTTTGAGCACGTCGTCTGTCTCCCACTATTGGCTTCTAGTGGGTGGAGGCCGGGGTGCTGCTAAACATTTTCCAATCCATAAGACAGTCCCACAGCAAAGAATTATTTGGCCAAAATATCAATAATACCAAGAAACCTTTGCAAACCACTTTTGTCACGTTCAATCAGTCTCAATACCTTCTCCATACAGTGCACAAATCTTTTCCTGTGTTTCAGTTGCATTTTTACCTTTCTTGAAATAATAAAGCGTAATATGCTGAAAATGTTTCATATTTTCTTTTATCTTCAATATTAAAATGGCTGCATAAAAATTCACTGATTTTGATAATTTTTTTAATGCAAGCTGATAAGTCAAATCATTATGTGGTATACCATAAACTTGAACAGTGCTGTGTGTCATTTATATCTTAAAACTGGAGGGAAAAGATCTCAAATAAACCTTACTTCACACTTCAAGAAACTAGAAAAATAAGAAGAAATTAAGCCCAAAGTTAACAGAAGAAAGTTTCAAAATAACAAATATCAGAGGAAATAAATGAAAGAGACCAGAGAGTCAATGGGGGAAAAAATCAACAAAACTAAGAGCTGTTTTTTGGAAAAAAATAAAATTGACAAACCTTTAACTAGACTAAGAAAAGAAAGAAGACTCAGATAAAATCAGAAATGAAAGAAGAGACATTATAAATGATACTTCAGAAATACAAAAGATCATTAAAGGCTACTATAAACATATGCCACCAAAATAGATAACCTAGAAGAAATGGATAAATTCCTAGGAACATGCAACCTACCAACATGGAGTAGGAAGAAACAGAATATCTGAAAAGCTCAATGATAAATAAAGATATTAAATCAGTAAGCAAAAACCTCCCAACATTGAAAACCCAAGAACCATACAGCTTCACTGGTGAATTCTCCCTCAAATTTTAAAGGGGACTCAATGCTAATACTCCTGAAAACTCTTCCCAAAATGAAGAGGAGGGAACACTTCAAAACTCATTCCATAGGGTCAGCATTACCCCAGTACTAAAGCCAGATAAGGGCACTACAAGAAAACTATAAAGCAATATCCCTGATGAATATGCATGTAAAAATTACCAACAAAATATTAGCAAGCTGAATTCAAGAATGATCAAGTGGAATGTATCCCTGGGATACAAAGATGATCTAACATATTCAAAACCATAAATGTGAACTACCACGTTTAAAGAATAAAAAATAAAAATCACATGATTATCTCAATAGATTTTTTAAAAAAGCATTTGACAAAATATAACATCCTTTCATAATTAAAAAAAAAATACCTTCAATAGACTGGGTATAGAAGGAGCATACCTCAACATAACAAAGGCCATAGATGACAAACCCACAGCTAACATTACACTCACCAGTAAAAGGTTTTTCTCAAGAACGAGACAAAGATGCACACTTTTACCACTCTTATATAGTACCAGAAGTCCCAGTTAGAGCAATTAGTTAAGACAAAGAAGCAAAAGGCATCTAAATTGGAAAGGAGAAAGAAAAATACCCATTATTTGCAGATTATATGATCTTAGGTATAGAAAATCCTGGCTCAACCAAAAAAAAAAAAAATCTGTTGGAACTAATCAACAAATTCAGTAAGGTTGCAGGATATAAAGTCAATATACAGAGATCAGTTGCATTTCTATACACTAACAATGAAGCATCTGAAAAAAGAAAGAAAACTATCCCATTCACAATGCAACAAAAATAGTAACATGCCTAGGAATAAATTTAATCAAATGAAAGACCTGTACAACACAAAATGCAAAATTCTGTTGAAAGAAATTGAAGAAAGTATAAACAAATGGAAAGGCATTCCATATTCATGGAAGATATTGTTAAAATATCAATGCTAGCCAACATCTATAAATTCAAAGCAATTCCTATCAAAATACCAATAGCATTTTTCAAAGAAATAGAAAAAAAAATCTTAAAATTTTCATGGAGCTTTCCACAC